CGTTCGGATAGCTACCGTCTTAGTGCTGCGTGGAAGCGAATAATCAAGTAATACATTATTTAAATGCATGCCTACAAAGGACAGCGTACTTCAATAGGGATTACTGTTGGTAGGGCTATTTTAATACACACAATAGACAGGAAGGACAAGTTAAAGGACTCGCATAATGCACATCCATAATATACGTTGCCTCAGTAATCCCCCCCCCCCCCCCCCCCCCCACATTGTGCAAGAGCGCAGAAGGGTGGTCACCAGGATTCAGGCTGCATAAGTAACGAAACAGGTGGACTTCTCCACAAATCTGGCTGTCGCCTGATGAAGCTAGTTGTAATTACTGGAGAAACGTCGTACTCGGATTGTAAATGTTGTGGCTTGGCTCTCCAACACAGCACTGTGCTGTACTAGTGACGAATTGGCCACGTTCTGTTTACGTGACAACCCTTACTAGTTGGCTGTGTCGGGTGGTGGCGGGTTTTAACGACACATTTATATATTTACGCGATCTAACCCAAAAACCTCAATTATGGATGATATTGGTCGTGAAAGCCTACGTGTTAAAGTGGGTGGATGTTTTTGTGTGTGTGTGTGTTTATATCTACACGCGGGTGTTGTTAGAGTATTTGTAGTTTAATCAAAAAGATACAGATAAGTTACGTTTCATATAATTAGTCAATTAAACCTTTTTAATGCAACTACAGTGTGGCAGAAGTAATTTGGTGCTTACACTTATAGAACAGTTTCAGGATATTTTATCTTGAACGGATGTGGGATTTGTTGTTCCAGTTTTTCAATGACAACATTATTAAGATACCAGTGTTGAGGCACGTCATTTGAAAGCTGGTGGGAAATTATGACTTTCAGTATCTGGCTATCCCTTCAATCAGAAAACTGTTTGTGAAGGAAATAGATTTTCGACTGTAAACATTTTGTAGTTTTTTATTTATGTAATCGGGATGACTACATTTGGTGCATTTTCGCAATTTTGGACGCCATTATTTCTCGTATTTTGATGGCTAAAATAAAACCAAGTGCAACTTGGTAGTTTCAGGAACTGACCTGCGGTAGTGTGTGATGAAGGCTTGAGAGAAGAAATGCTCAAAACCTCTGGCCAAGCCCGGACAACTACACGTGGATTGCTATTGACTGCAACAACAACAACAACAACTTAGGGGCCGTCCATAAATGACGTCATGCACCTGGGGGGGCGGGGGGTCAGACATTTGTGACGATGTGTGACGAGGGGGGGGGGGTTGAGAAATGTGACGTCACATCAAAATGCGCAACTTTAAATAAATATAGACAACACGTTCTACTGAATTAAATAGACTTTTTGATAAATGTTTTCTCCTGCAACATCAGAGTGCAGCGCCACATTAAATACGCACTACAATGACAATAGTTTAAAGCGATTTGAAGCATGTTTTATATATATTGTTTGAGGGGGGGCAGAGCTTTGTGACGTCATTTGAGGGGGGGTCTGATTTTTTGTGACGGGGGGGGGTCAAAAATCGTCAAATCGCGTGACGTCATTTATGGACGGCCCCTTACGTGCTAAAACAAACAAGGCTATTTATTGTCTACAGCAAAAAGTGATTAATTTCAGATAATGTGTTAGCGAGGCAGTGTTTTAAGAGCAAAGTTTATCAATTGGTCATGCAATCTTAAAAAAAAAACAGTCAGACAGATCGTCCATGTTGGCATACAGATTGTGTGTACAGGCATTCGTGGTAAGTGCTGTTAGTGAGTATTGGTACATGAAGGGATGTGATCAGCAACACAACCACCAGCTGAGTGCTTGGAGAGAAACCCCACTCATGCGAGTGTTAAACAGGGAATTCTGCTGATAGGTCAACCTACTCGCTCTACTGCCTCTTACAGAACCCCTCTGCCCTGTAAGTTGGTGTGTCATGCTAATGATGGCACTATCTTTGCCATCATTATTAACATGGAGACCCCTCCGCTTCCAAATTGCTGCATTACAGGCATGCATTGTCACCGCAATGTGAGGAAATTCAATAATGAATTGTACAACATTCAGAGATAATTTTACATTGTTGCTCTAGCCCCCAACGCTATGTCGCACAATTGTACCTACAAACAGAATCGGTCTGCAAACGGTCGAACAATTGCCACCCTAAGTGGCGGCAGTTCTGAATTACTCTGGGTTATACAAACCCCAACACAAGGGAAAGCCCTTTTAGCTTCAGTGCAAGTAGCTCTGGCCTTTGGTTAACCTATGAGCTGCCGTCGCCTCCAGGTCTAACTGGCACAGGATTCAGGCTGCATAATGACCCCATAATTACTGCTTTCGGTAAAAAAAACGGTTCCAAATAATGACTGTTATTTTTCCTGCAAAGATGGCAGCAGATAGGTGCGTGGTTATAAACGGGAGAGTCAAATGGGAAAACATTTTAAGGAACTGGGCCAGCACTGCGATTGCTCCAGAGTGGTACGGTCTGCTTTTGAAAGATTAATTGTTGGGTTACATGGGGTCTACAAAATGGCACACCACTGATTGTGAGTTTCCATTGTAACCAAGTGACCTTCATTTAATTGTTAATGTTGTGCAAAAAAAAGTCTGCCGACTCTGTCTGAACCCAAGTAGTATCAAAGCAAAGTCATTTTCTCCCACAATGGTTTCGTGCAAGCCACAGCGAAGGCTTATAAACATCCTGCAGTGAAGACCCGTGTGGTTTTGGCTCTCACTCTGAGCTACAACAACACACGTAGCACGTGTACTGCGGGCAGAGAAGAAGCACCGGCTCTCGGTGCTCGGTTTCAGAAGGGGGGGAGGGCAGGCAGGGGGCATTGACCGAGCAATGGCAAGAAGTGTCAGGGCTACATTGCACGTGTGTGGACTCCACTCGACTCTTGGGTGCACTTAATTTTATTGCACCTTAAGAAGCTGTAATTTGCCTTTTAATTTTTGCTACTGACATTAATGTCTTACGAATAACTAGTTTCAACCTTTTCTGGCTCTTTTTTTTCGAATGGAATTTTAAATGTGCAATTTGCAATGTGCAATTTTTCCCAGTGTCGTGTGATCGAGAGATGCTACATCAACATGGTCACATCATTTGTTAGTCTGGCCAGCAGCACACGCTCAGCGCCGCACATGGCATGTATACACACCGACGTGTTTTTCTTTTCACGCCACTGTTAATGTGTTTGTGGAATGCGTGTGTGGATATGTTAACCTTAATTGTGCCAAATAGTTTTACAGATGGAATAAGAAAATTGTATGTTTTTTATATTTACACAAAATATATTATTTTTTTTAAACACAGATAATTATCCGAAAAGTTAAATTAATTTAAAAAAATGTATCGAAATTTTTCATCTTTGCCCCTTTTTTTTCCCATGACGCCTGACGTGGCTATTTGAAGAATACCAGTGAGCCTCGAGATTTGCAGAACTTCCTCTGCATAGAGGCAGAAACACTTTGGCCACGATCTTAATATCAAAGGAGCTATTTCTAAATGTTAACTCTTGTTCATTCGGATTGAAAGCGGTGCCACACACTTTACAGCATTAGAGTTGTTTTCCCCCTGTAAGAGGTTTCAGTTGGAGTTTTTAAAACGGTTTTTCAGTTTCTCTCATAGAAGTGCTCTCCCCTATCCTTTGGCTTCTTACATTCTTTGTGAATGTGGAGCATATTGGCAGGCTCATAGCACCTCATTGGGTCCTCTGCAAGTTATATTGCATATTAGCACCTTTGCAAGAGTGATAAAAAAATGCTTCTCAATGAAAGGCAATTTCATATAAACGGGAGACAGATTTTGACAGTTCAGAACAATTGTCTTCTGCTATGTCAGCACACTCTATACACTGTGATGCATATTTAATACATTTGAAGACAATTCTGAATACAGAGTAATACTATTATTAGTATGACTTTCATGAATCGCTTAATAATAACATGTCCTGACCAATGTGTTTTAAGAACCAAGCTGCACTGCCACTCCTCCAATCCCTACTTCTCTGGATGCAGATAAGGTTCAGTGGAATCAGCCAAACTTAGAATAAATGACCACCTCCCAATAAGCGGGGTGGGGGGGGGAGCTTTTCTCTCATCCGGATTGGATGGCATCGCATAACCACAAATAGTCTTGGTTGACCAGCTGTTGGGAATCCTGAACTTCCAGATAATCATGTCTCCCTGCATCAATACCCAATCGAAATATACATAAGCAACAAGTTAGAGAATTGGAACCGCCTTCGTAGCAGGTGAAACGAAAGGAATTTTACGAGTAAAAACAATTTCCTGTTCAGCTTTTCATCCAAATATAAATAGTCCGCTTTTAGAGCTTGACCTTCCGTCCAGTGGGTGCTTTGTGAGAGCGATATACATCATCTTCTGTCGGCTCACGAGCAACACATTTCTGACTTGGCTCTATTTCTTTGGCCACTATTACTGCTTCAATCAATCTCAATCGTCATTCTTATTTATAGATATGTTTTACTGCATCTATGCACCTGGTCTTCTAAAGATATCTAAAACCATTTTGGATTTCAAGTGAGTTTTGTTAAGAAGTTTTGATATTGATTAGTTGAGTTATTTGTTGCTCGTGCATTTAAGTTTTAGTTAAAATAATGTTTTTGTAACTATAGGACATTGCTGTTGAAGTTTGAATACAAATGGGTGTACTACATATAAATACACAAACCTATTGCTGTGATCCTAGCTGGCCCATGCCCACATTGTAAATACATTACCAGAAAAAAATGCAATGGACTTGTTAATTAAATACTTTGTTAATCGGTGCATGCAAGTGTTGCCAGCATCACGAAGCGTGAACAGCGCTGATCTCCGATGAGCGATGATGGTTAAATTGAACATTATTCCCGGTGATGATGGGCGTGTCGTTGTTTAGCTTGACACTCGAATGGGGTTTCGTTTCAGAACGTTATAGGGGGTAATATAAATGGGCGTTGTGTTTCGCTATGTATGGACAATAGGAAATGATGTCGTATATATTTCCCTCCTGTTTTTATTACAGATTTGATTGTTGGAGCCTTCGGAGTGGACAAGGCCATTGTGTATAGGTGAGTGTTGCACTGTTAACCTAAACTATTTCCTGTTTTGCCAGGTAAGGGCCACTGAGCTATACAGCTATATTTCATAGGTGACTTGGCTACAACTGATAGCCCAATGAATTGGCTTATCACGTGGACATTTCCAGCAGCCAAATACTCTAAACACATGTTTCTATTTGGGGAGGGGAAAAAAAACGGAGGATCTGGAGAAAAACCTACACGACCACGGGGAGAACATGCAAACTCTGAATATGAACGGGTCTCGGTGTAGGAATCTAACCCACGCACCCCTGTATATGAGGAAAACGAGCAGATTAGTTTGGCAGGAGCATTGGAAGAGATTGTCTCTTAGTTAACACCCATATACACGTAGTCATTAGGTTTCAGCACATTGAGTGATAAAGAACGCACATTGTTTTGGAAATAATCGATCCACCTTTTTGTAATAGTCATAATGTTTACATTGTTCCCTGTGATGAAAATCATGATGGTAACCTTAAACTCGGTTTGACAATAAATATTTAAATTGATGTAAGAGGAAAATTACTAGTTTAAAATTGCATTAAAAAACCATGGCCACACTTCCCCTATTATAACAAACGAAGTGTTTTTTTTTGGACATGCAATTTCAATTTAAAATACATCTCGCCATGTCACTGACTGCATGGCTGCTCCGTGTCTTCATATAAAACCCGTCTTCGGAAAGAAAGATCAATTCTGAACGGGGACACAATCTGCTGCTTGTGCAGCTACGATTATCCATAAGCGTGGACTGAAACTTAGAGCAGTCGGGTGCAACATGTGGTTGGAAAGTCATGCCAGCGTTAACATCATTGGTCACGGTGATGCATTCACCGATGTTGCTGGGTCATGGTGAGTGCTCTCGCGTTACAGCGGGGGGGTGGGGAGAGCTGCTCGTTGAGACCGACAGTCCCGGCGCTGCTCATGCTGGCGTGCGGTGTTCCTGTGTGACCCACCGGGTGCAGTGCTTGGGAGAAATGTTGTGGCCCATTTAGGTTATCTGCAAATGCTGCGGTGTAACCGTATCTGGCGTTCAATTTGCCGTGCCTCGCTGCAGGACGCACAAAGGCTGCACACGAGGGCTCTGTTTCTGACACAGCTTGATGCCCGCGTGATTGTCGTCAAGTCATTCCTGTTGACCCGTGCCTGTCCCAAGTCGTGCGAGAGGCGAACTACGCACAGGGCGACAATCTGTATCACTGCTGAGGTTACAGGGCAGCAGCACTCAACGTGGGGGCGCTCTCTTTGTGTGCGAGACACATCATTGTTGGCTACGTGCAGTGCGAAATAAGTTCAACATACCTACATAATGTTAGTTGGATGGATGTATTCAGTGTTAAGGGAATGGGTAGGAGATGATTTGGTTATTGTATTCGTAGAAATGTAAATATTGCTTTATATTATAAATGTATGCATACGCATATCTTTATTCACGATTCCTTTGTTAACATGTGCATGTGTGTACACATACGAGCATATGCATATGCAGTATACTATGTGTTTGTATGTATGGCACAAATAAAACCACATACTCTAGGAATAGTATATGCAAATAGTGCAATCCTATAAGAGTGCATTGCAGTATTTAAAAATAGCATTTATATAATCACTTAATAAATAACATTATTCTTGACTTAACAATGGCCTTGCTTCTTGGTAATCAGTTGTGGGTTTATGGAGCTGCTGCTCCTTGGCCTAGGCATGTGAATGTCACCACTTGTGGCAGTACCACTGGAGCCGAGTTACCCATCTCTTACTACTTTGGAAGATTTTTGTTTTAATGCCTATAAAATGAAATGGCAACGGCAGCAATGTTGTTCATCGTTGCTGAAGTCTGACTCCCCGGGGTCTTATTCCATGACCCCTTGCCTGGCTCTACAGAAGAAATGCCCTGAGTGGGGTCTTGTGCTGGGCCTGCACCAATGGCATTATCATTTCTGAGATTAAAGATAATTTGGAAGGGTGCTGGCACAAGTATAGCTGTTGTCCCGAAACCTGGCCATCCCCGACAAGATAAGCTGACAGTAATGTGGCATATCTCACAATGTGCTGCACAAGACTGCGCTGAATTATTTTTTTCTAGAGACTGTGAGGAAATAGTCCCGTTGGTCTTGCAATCTTTTTTTTTGCCAGAACTGGAAATAATCTCCATAGAGCATGGTGTTGTAAATGTTGTGTGTGGAATGTATATATATAATTAACACAAGCAATTTTTCTCTTGCTGGGAACGATTGAAAAAGTTGATGTTTTGTCCAGCTGGGCACATTCATGATTGAGTTTGTAGTATATAGTAATTGATTTTAATGAGTGTGTTCAATCAAATCTTAAGGTGTCCCCTATGGTCTAATGTGACTTGAACTATGATCATTTAATCATGTATGTTGAACTTCTTTTGCACCGTATGTAGCCAACCATACTAATCAGAGGTGGGGGAAGGACAACAAACTAAGCACAAAAAACAGATCTAATGAAGTACATTTTCCACCTAGATCTGACTGCACAGCTCCAGTGGTTTCCTATTATTGGAAGGAAGAGCATTCCAGACGGCCGCAAGAGCGCATCTGAAAGTGCACGATGCAGTGACCATCTTTGTTCTATAGTTATCCAAAAGCCGCTGTAAGAGACGTGGTGGGAATTCCATGGTTTTCTTGCAAGAAGCAATCGATGTAAACGACAACCACTATTGACCACTACCAAGTGATGGAGCCTCGCGAGAGGTGGTGGTTTTCTCAACAGTAGAGGGATGATAATATAATTCTATACGATTGATGGTGATGATGAGTAAAACCCACAAGTGCTTAGCGTGTATGCCAGTCATACACTTGGCACCCAAGCACACTCCAGGCATAAAGGGTACCAAGTCTTAACTCCCAAACCTTGTAAGCCACAGGCAGTGATGGGGCACAATCAGGTGGTAACGTGATGATGTGCGCACGACTGTGTGCAGGGCGCGCCCAGTTGTGACGGTCAGCGCGGAGCTCACGGTCTCCCCCATGGTGCTGCACCCCGAGAACAGGAGCTGCATGGTGACTGGTTACGCTACCCTGCAGTCCTGGTGAGACTTGTTTTTTTTTTGCTGGATGCACCGACCTCATTGCCTCATCTCTTCCTGTGTGCGTGCACGTCTCTAACTTCCTGTGGGGAGCGGGAGCCTATCGGTTAGTGCGTTGCACTACGAACCCGCGACTTCAGTTCCATTCCCGCTCATGGCCAAAATCGGTGACGATTATTTGAACCGGTCCTGGGCCTCCCCTAGGTCGACTCGGCCTCAAATAAGTACCTGGTGCGGCGTGTAAACATCGCCACTGGGGAGACGAAAGCGGCCAGGCGTGGTGTTGGCCACCCCACCCCCCTTGTGTGCTGTGCCGACCTTCAGAGTCACTTGCTAACAGCACTTGCCCCAAAAGTCGATTAAGGCTGAATGGCCCAGCTGCATTCAGTAATATTTCTTAATTTACCCACTAAATGTTTTGAAGTTCACCTTTTCACCCAATTCCATTTCCACTGGCTGATATGGTTTCTGGTTCGAGACTTCAAAGGTTTCTGTGATGCTTATGCTGAAATTCATCATTTGCTTTTAATTCCTATAATTAATTTGTAGATATTTAGATATACAAATCCCCCCCCCATTAAGTGATTAAAGGTTCGCTACACTTCAGAGCATTTGCAACATTTGAAGAATAGTTTACATTTGTTTGGCTCCTAGTGGATTGTTTTCAAGAAGGTATTTCAAAGGTATAATTTCTCTGTTAACTGCAAAATAACTCTGGATACTACACTGTTTTCTCTGAATAGATTATAACGTTTCAGTGATAATGAAATTATTTTGTGATGGCAATGACATTTCTTTATACTTGAACTAAATTACGTCAAAACCACTTGTTATTCGTCAATAAATGCTGCATTGAATCATAAATCACAGCCGATTCTTATAAATGTGGAACATGCGTCAAAGTGCGCATGTGAGAATGTTTTGCAATGCTTGAACTTGATACGCTCGTGTTAAATGTAGGCTCACGGGAGGAAGCAAAAACCTTAACACAAATTGCAAACAACAGCAAAACAAACAATACAAATTCTATGATATTAAAAAAAAACTACAAATTGTCAATTCATGGACTTACTGCTGGGGAGAGGGTGGGTGGTGAGGTGAGTGGGTGGGTGTGAATCGCACCCCTTTGTTGATACGGTTCCAACTTGGTGGATTGCACAGAGAAACTGACGCTTCAAAATCTGCCACAGGATCTAGACTTTAAGCGCGAGTGAGAGGGCATAATAGAAACCGCAGTAAATAAATAAATCGTCCAGTATTGCATGTCATGCCTGACAAGTTTCAGTTTATATTTGCTGATAAAGGCCTCATGGTAAAACGTATTCATTTATTTAACAGGGGCATGCTTCAAAAGTAAGACTGAAATACAAGCCCCGTTCGGGTATCTGACGAGTGCACTCGTCATCACTGTTGCTGCCGGCTTTGTTATTGCCACTTTTCACAACTAGACTTCAGCAAGTCCAGGTGCACATGTATACCCCTCTACTGTCTGCTGATAAGTATGGTTTATTACCTTCATATTACTGCTGCAATATCAGTGACCCAAAGGGACAATTTAGACATTAATGGAGCGTTTTAGCATTGTCTTAAGCCGGTTCCAGCATGACAAATATATAATTAAACACCTGTGATTTACCTTGAGTTCTATGAGCATATTTATTCATATATACATATGACAAGGGTCTAAATAACCACACAAATTAGATTGTTGTTGTTATTATTATGATTAACATAATCCATACTGCATGATGCAATATTATAGTTGAGTGGCACTGTGCCTGAATGCTTCTGACCGTCCATCACAGAAGGGTGTGAGTAAAAAATCCCAGTGAGAGCTCGATCCACTTTGCTATTCCTCCTGGGGTCTGTAAATTGAGCATTATCTACTCATTTGTGAGACGTTGTCATTGTCTTTGGGAAATCTAATTCTCACTTTAAGAATGTGGAACTTCCACCAGTGGCTGAGCGTTGCCAACATTATAGACAACCACCACGCACTACCCCTTTTGATTCTTTAATTACATTAGGTATAGCTTATTTATTGATCTAAGCTTCTGAATGTCTCTAGCACACGAAAAGCGCCAAATGAAAAAAAAATCCCCATACAAAGGCTCTGTATTGCAATTTCATCGCTAAGTAGGCCAATCCAATTAATTTGACAAATGACCAAAACCGCCTTTTGCCCTATGTGGGTCACATGCCGGAGTTTGCAGGAACAGAAAAATGCCATGCAAATGCTGGCATAAATCAATGTAAGAGTGTTGTGTGTTGGCACTGGCTGTGGCGAGGTAGGATTTTTTAATGCTCTCCCCATTCTGGCTTGTGTTTTGTGTGGGCATCCGCAGCCTGTGCTGCCCTGCTCCCTTGGCTGGGCATGGATGTTGTAATTACTTCTAAATGTTCTTAAAGAGAACAATGAGGGCGTCAGTGGAATTGCTGCTGACTAATGGATGATGTAAATTTCATGTGTTAATAGTGTTTGACTGTTTTAGTCGTGTATTTGTAGCTGCTGCTACTGCTGCGCTTGCCATGCTTATAAATCATAATAATAATAATAAACATGGGCATATAATACACGATGCACATACAACATTTACTATGTTCAAAGAAATGCTGTAGTTTCTTAGAATATATTTTAGTTTGAGAGTGCACTCTCTGTTCTTTGTCCTTTGTTTAAACTTGTAAATATATACATTTTATTTTAGAAATATGGAGTTTATACTGTACTTTTATTCGGTGTGCTGCAAATTTGGTGGCTCAGTGTAATCAATCCTTTGAGAAAAACTTAGTGGGAATCATCCACGTGTGGGAATCATCCACGTGTGGGAATCATCCACGTGTGGGAATCATCCACGTGTGGGAGTCATCCACGTGTGGGAATCATCCACGTGTGGGAATCATCCACGTGTGGGAATCATCCACGTGTGGGAATCATCCACGTGTGGGATTCATCCACCTGTGGGATTCATCCACGTGTGGGAGTCATCCACGTGTGGGAGTCATCCACGTGTGGGAGTCATCCACGTGTGGGAGTCATCCACGTGTGGGAGTCATCCACGTGTGGGAATCATCCACGTGTGGGAATCATCCACGTGTGGGAGTCATCCACGTGTGGGAATCATCCACGTGTGGGAGTCATCCACGTGTGGGAGTCATCCACGTGTGGGAGTCATCCACGTGTGGGAGTCATCCACGTGTGGGATTCATCCACGTGTGGGAATCATCCACGTGTGGGAATCATCCACGTGTGGGATTGGAAGGTTCAGTAGCAAGTGACCAAACTAACCAGCATGCAAACAGTCCAAACATTTATGAAAATGGTTCTCCTTTTAAGGAAAAATGATACGATCTCAATCAATCTAGATTTGATCTCAATCTTGACAACTTACAGGCTTTAAAAATCTAGAAAAAAATTATACCTGGGGCATTGTATTTTTATTCATGACATGTGGATGAAAGGTTCTGTGTGGCCACTTGGTACCAATTAAATGAACATCCCAGCACCGAGAGTGCCCTCACCTGTTAGCAATTTCCTTTCACATTCCTTACATTCCCGAGACAACGGGTCCAGTGCCTCTACTCAGCAGCGTATTCTTCATGGAAACCTCCTGAAACTTGCTCACATCAACCACGTATGAGTCAAAGCACCTTTGTGAGCAAACAAAACTCACTGTTAGATTGTATAATGACCGAATTAATTATTATGCTGTGTGTGTTGCTTTGTGTAGTCCCACAGTGAAGGTCCTTTGCAGTTGCTGGTCCCTCCCATAGGCGCGTGGAGCAACGTCCATCACTGGCCCAGGACCAATTAGTGGGAATTGGCACCCACCCATTGCTCCTTTAGTAATGTAGAGTGGAGTCATGTTGGCACTGGCTTTATTTGGCTGAAACGTGACAGTTTTTATCAACAGACAGTTGGATGAAAAGAGAAGAGTGGTGGTGTCTGTAGTGCATGCTTTAGGGGAAGGGACTTTTGCGGCCATCATATTTTAAGCTGCAAATGTTAGGTAAACATTTATAGCAGTCACCATGCACTGTTCAAGTATTGTAATTACTTATTTCAAGTTTGCTTATTTGTTTCTCCTGAAGATGCCATTCTTCCGATGTCACTGTATTTAGTCGGACTGTGCTCTGGCTTTCATTTTACACGCAAAACATTCCAAACTTCTTGTGCCGCTTTTAACGTTTAGGCTCCCGTCACAATTAATCTGTTCATCAGACATTTTAATCGATGTCAATTTGACACATTTGGAGAGTAGGAATAATATAGGTAAGTGCTCGCACAACTATGCACAGTCCTTAATTATTATTGTTATTAAACATCAGAAGCAACTATGTTGAGGATTTGGGCTTTTTCACATGAAATCCTATAAAAGTAAGTGCAGTCAATGCCACAATGTGTTGCATTGGGGCTGGAGACACTGTAACCTGTGTGATCTGTGCTGTCCTCTCTCAGCTTTTCAGTGGAATTTTGCCTGAAGGTTTCTGGAAAGAGAATACCTGTTACTGTAGGTAAGTGGAGGTATTTACGTGCTCTAAGATAAACGCAAACATAAATAATTCACGTGACGACTTTGTTGACATTGCAATTGAAGATCTATTTAATGTGTTTATTTTGGTGTCCAACTTTATTTGCAGACCAATAATTATTGAATATCCATTTATACTTTTTCTTTTCCTTAAGAAAAGAAAAGTCTCCTTTGCCGAGTACTGTTCTTAAGAGAACATTAATTGCAGATGTTCCGCAGCTGTAAATGAATGGACTGATTTAGTCTTCTGATTAAATATATCTGGCTTACTTTGGTGTCAAGGCATTGAAACAAAACTCAGACATTCTTTAGAACTTTGCTCCGACACGGTTTACATAAAGTGTAGCCATGTGTATGTACTACATGGGGAAATGGCTGGGACGGCTTCGAGGAAAGCTGCACAGAAAATGAAACACCTTCAGGTCTCTGCTGAGCATTAATCACGGTTTGCATGCACTGAATGCCTGCAGCCACACTGATGTCATGCTGGAACTGAGATTCTGACCACATTATATAGCTGGTAAAGCTGCCAAAATGCCCATAAAACTAGACAATTACAATACATTCATTTGTTCAGTTGACATGTGCCCTTTTATAAGCACTCCAGCCACTGTGCAAAACAGTCCTCTTCCTAACAAACCTCCTTCCCTTAACATTACTGACATGAACACCACAACCCACTTCTTTATACAACCTCAGGTCAACAGGCCTTACCCCACCCCCCCTCTTCAGTTAAACATCGTTGGAGCCTCGAAATAGCCAGCCATCACGGCATCCGACAAACCAGCATTCTGCAGACACTGATGTGCTATGTATTGTTGTAGACATGCTTTTAATACAATCAGAATCTTTATTTATACTGGAGGAATCCGATGAGCTATTAAAGCTATTTTTTCACAAATGTCCAGTAGGGGCAGGTCATAAAGTTACAACCACAAACAATACAAAAACACGATAGGAGTGTAATGGAAAGGTAAGACAATCTCTCAATAAATAAAACTAACTATTTTTTTTATTTTCCTAAGGTAAAGCCCTCTGAACTATTGTCTTATTTATCAGAAGCGACCTGGCCACACATGATAGTTCAACGAAGTGGCTTATCACGTGGACATTTATAGTAGCCACGTAATCTAAATGTATATGCTTTAGTTCAAGCACGCTCTGCCTTCTACCAAATTGTTATCATGTTGTAGACTTTGTCTGGCTTATTACCTTTGACCTATCTGCTTCACAACTAAACCAGAGCTGCTGTTTGTGTGCTGGGCAATTGACCTTTAGCCTCTTGACCCCACGTACAAATCCCAGAAGGGAGATCTCTGTTTGCTGGACAAATGTTATTAACGTGTAATTGGCATGTTCTGTTTACGTGACAACCCTTACTAGTTGGCTGTGTCGGGTGGTGGTGGGTTTTAACGACACATTTATATATTTACGCGATCTAACCCAAAAACCTATATTATGGATGACTAGTCTTGATGTGTTTGTAAGTACAGTATACTATCATGGACAAATAATCGTCCAAAATTCAAGGTTATGGTGTTGTTTTAAAGAGTCCAGTTCTCACATTCGATGACAAACAAGATATAGAAAAATTTGCTTACCTGAAATTATTACTGAAAGTGATCTCTTCTAGAAATAGCAGTATTTGGACTATTCTGTAGACTTTGAAAAATTGAGGGTTGAAAAATTGATGGTGGTGTATGCCAATAAATATAAACAAAATTAAGTATTCAGGCTGAGAAGACATCTCACTGAATTAAAGCAGTTGTTAGACTAAGGCTCAGAGATTTGATTTTGGTTTTAAAAGTGGCGTAGTTTGGATAAATCCAGATGCAAGCACGAGCGACAGGTGGTTGGCATGGAGTAATTGTAACCGTTTATGGGTGTTTGTTGCTATTATCTTAGTCAAAACTCGGAAACAAAGCTGTGCACATGTCAAAGATGTTTAAACGTTGTAACAGATCTTTGACAGTCGCTTCATCAATGCAGATTTAGTGTTTTTTTGGTTTTGTAAAAACACTGACCGATAAGTGACACTATAACGTGATTTAGTTTTCCCCGAAGATCCCAAATAGATGAGGCCGCGAGGGTACATCTGGTCGAGCACCAAATGGGTCGAGGCTCAAAAGAAAGCCATCCCTTGGTGTGGACCAATCAGTTTCAAGGACAATGCCACATATATTTTCATAATATGTTTTTTGTTTGCATTTTGACTGCAGGTATTGTGGTTAATGCAGACATGAATCCTTGTAAAAAGGTTTCAGTTTTGTTGCCAGAAAAAAGGGAAAAACCCTATTATTAGGATTTACTGTGTTGAGAAATAAGATGAATATGTCCGCTGTGAATCTTAAAACGTATATTTGCCAAATTGGCCGAGTGACTCGGAGCTTCAGAACGTTGAGCTGGCACTGATGAAATCCTGTGTTCGAATACAGGCAGCCACCACCTCATTTAAAGCAGGTTCCCAAGTGTAGCTAGTTGCTGGACACAGATTGGTCACCAATTAAGGCACAAAAAAACTGAAACAATAAAATGTGTTTTTGCATGATATTTTGAAACCAATTCTAGCTCTGGGAATATTTTTTTTGTTTGATCATGTGACAGTCAATTGGCAGAGTTTATGAGAAAGTACTGTCCCAACTCTATGAAGGATGAAAAGCCCACTTGAAGGATTTTTTTTTTTAGACAAGTGCTGTAACAAATCTCTTTTGCGGACCGCTCAAACACATGGGGTGCACTGTTATGCAATATTTTCCCGAATGGTTTCTTCGTCCCGTGACGCCAATGGCACAGATGGAATAAATTGGGAATATTTGATTGATATACATATACTCATATTAGCTGATGCAGCATTCAGAACAAGCCTTTGTTTCATATTTTTGAATTGTACAAGAATAAAACTAACACTAAACCTTGTAACTCGCTGTGGTTGTGTGCAAGAGCCATTGAATGTGACTTTTGGTGAAGCAAATTGTGCGGTTCTCTCTAGTTCCTCCGAGGCTCTGAAAGTTGCCTCTGTAGATGATGCATGTCGTTGAGAAAAAAAACACGAATCTTAGACGAGAACATTGATCTTTTTTTCTGTTTTTTACGTCTGGCTTTTGCGGCATGTGGTCTAGCTCTTTTATCTTCTGTGCGCTAACGGCGAATGTGCCCGTTTATTTACATATATTAGCCGGGAATGTAATTGGCTTTTTCCAAGGAATGAGAAAATTACCGACGTTAAGAAACAGTTCTGTGTGTTATTTAATACACTTAACCATTGCATTCGGCAACCTTAGCAGCCAATAGCGGACATTTTGAATACCTACCACCGCTTGTCAGAGTGATTTATGTCACACAGTCGGCAAAAGTATGCTTTGTTGCACTATACTTTTTATCTGCACACCATTCCATCTCCCTCAACCACCACCTACTCCTCCTCATCAAAGCCGTCTAAGCCCACCAACGATTTGATCAACATGCCATGACACCACAATTATTGTGGAACTGTGAGGGATTATGATACCAGTGCGATTTGCTTAAGAAGAATGGGGTACACATTGAAGGGGCAGTGTGTGTCAATATTCATCAAACCGAACATTTAGCAGTAATGTTGAATTACTGCAGTGCGAATGCTTCCAGCAATGCTGGTTATACATTGACCATGGACATGCGTGGGACATGTTATTGCAATGAACACGAGTTCCCATTCTTGGTCAGCTCGGTCCAAAGTAGGGATGTAAGTAGTGTGGCGTGTTGACATGACAACGGATGTTGACAAGACTTTAGTTTTCATGTACTGAAACAATACATCACTAGAATATTTACCGATACCAACAGTGCTATAACTCCATTAAAATTAGCTCTGCACTGCACACTTCTTAATGGATATATTTAGTAGATATTGACCACTGTCTTTGGCAAAAAAAAATCTGACAGGCTATCAATTCATGCTCTTTTTAAGTCATTTAATGACATATATATGAAGTTGATGGAAACTTTTAACATTCTAATTCGCTGTGGCGTTTTAAATACTAACTAGGTGTAATGTTGGCTAAATTTCCCGAATTGCGTATCAAATTGGCCTTGAATAACCCATTCCCTGGAGACTAATTGGAAGCGTGTTAAATAAAGAAACGCATCCAGTGGTGGTAATGATGATGAAGGCACTGATTTTCGGCCCTATGCCTGGCTTCATTGCTGCCGTTCTGCCATTAGTAAGATGAAACGTCACTTTTCCTCTGGCCAAAAATAACACTGGTGTGCATGCAATAGATTCAGGAAAGGAGCACGTGTGTGTAGAGCAGTTAGTGTACAGTGTCATGATCTCTGTGACCATTATGCGATTGATGGTCGTGAGCCGTATCCGTGACAAGTGGCGTCGGAACCTGTCCCATTCCTGCACTTGATTTCTTTGAATCAGCTCCCGTGTGGTATTTCATTGTAAGCGTTTGGCAGTGCTGGTGGTGACTCGGCGTGGCCACGGGCAGCCTTAACAGATGTTGCTTTTGCAGCACTTCGCCTGAACCCCATTAAGTAAAAGGGGTATATTTCCCCTTAAAATACACTGGTTAATATAGTCTTTTTTTGGGGGGGGGGGGGAGGAGTAAAGCAGAAGATATAACTTGCATGTGTTAATGTAATTGCATGATAAACATTCAATATTTGTATTTTAAGAAATCAAGATTTTTTTGGGGGGGGTTGCACTGTGAATGCCTTTTTTCTGCAAGTCTGTGCATGCTCAAAAGTGTTTTCACATAGTTATATACCAATACATTAACTGTACTTTCATGTAACGTGGATTGAGGGAAGATGAATGATAATGTGTGATTTCATGATTATTTTTAAGCGACATCATTTCATATCCCGATTTCAATCAGGTTAAACACTAATAGATTTAAACTAACATCGATATATGTGTTTATACCATGTTTGATCATAATTGCAATTGATGAGACATTTTAAGGTTATGGGAATCCCCTTTTAATAAAGTTGCCATTTTACCAAAACAAATAATGAACGAGAATACACTGTACACCAATTGTCTACATTGTAAACACTCCTGAAATGTTAAAATTAGGAATTTGTACTCGACTCAGAATCCAATGTCTTACTATAAAAAGAATATGCCATAAACATAGTGATATTTTTGGTAATGGTTGTATTACTTCCTTTCATATATAAATATTCCAATGCAGAACCCTGTGAAGAAAGATTATTTTTTTATTAATAAAGCCTCATTATAATAATGCAAAAACATTAATATCTGCTTCCTCCGATTTAGCATGGTTGACTACGTGCGGTGCGAAAGAAGGTCTATATACATACAATATATATCACTGGGTGCTGTTGTGGCAGATCCGTCCACTGTCAATTGGGAGATTAATGAGTTCAAACCCCAAGTTGAAAATCCACGCATTCCACCATCTTTCTCCAATAAAATGTGTGCCACTTTGCGGAAAGTCCAGAGTAGTTTTCCAATAGAGACTGGTTTCTTACCAGAGTATCTACTTCACAGAAGACAAGTTCATTTTTGGATTTCTTGCCCGAAACCACGTGAATTTGTCAATTGAATCCAGGTTCGGTTGACCCATCGGGCTACGCATCCGTCCATCCGCCGGTCGTGCCGTGTCTAATGATCTGTGTCCACACCTCTGTCTGTGGTCGCAGGCATGGAGGTGGAGGTGCTGCTGGACAAGTTGAAGGAGAAAGGCGCCATCCGTCGAGTGCTCTTCCGGGACTCCAAGTCGCCGCGCTTCAGGACGCGTCTGCAGATGGGCCGGGGACTTCAGGAGCAGTGCTCAACCCTCACAGCGTATCTCAGGGTGGGTATGCCACCATTCCCACCAGATTCTGTACCGCAACTGGAGGGGCGTTTGTGCTTTTGAAGGTCCTTACCAGGGCCCGGTTCCAATTCTTCTTGGATGGGGGGGGGGGGTTCCAGTAGAGCTGTTGTATAGGTGGCAATCGTGATAGTGATTCACATCTAAGGAGAGTGAACTTGGCGGGGCCACAGGGACATTTGGTAGTGCAGGGTCCACCTGAGCACCCCCTTTTGTTAGTACCACCCGTGGTCCTCACTATCCCCACATTAGACCCGCTTTTTGCATGAAGCTTTGTTCTCTGTTCACATGTAGATTAAAACGTTGTTCTCTCATATACCATTTATCCAATGGAATTGGTGAAAATTTAATGCTGGGTTGCCATAGTTTATAAAGACTGGAGATTTGGAAGCTCTGCTTGAGAGAGGTTTTTTTCTATTTCATCAGCTTGCAATGGAATGATAAGAATGGCAAAGATGGATATTGGGTCAAGTTGTCCAGCGAGTCTCTCCACTGTAATTCGGTGGGTCACAAGTCATATTTTAGGCTAGTCGTTAATGAAAAGGCACCGTTATTTTTCATGGCAATATTAATAGTTTCCTACGAAAGTTTGACCAGGAGAACATGTGATAATTTCTTTCCATCTGTGCGCATGGAACGGTGAGCAAAATGGGCTTCTGCGAGAGAAGTCATGATCCACTGTGTGCATTCTAACCACAAAATATGAAGATGTATTGCAATTAGTCAATTGTTTTTTTTTTATTTAAAAAATGTAGCCTTTATTAGGTGCCATGGTTATTTCTGACAGAGTATTTTGAGAACATTCAGAGGAAAGGGTAATTCCCTCGGTGCCCTCGGCTAAATAAATGCCACGTTCTGCTGCCTCCTTACTGGCTGCTTTGCCTGTGCCTAAATGCGGGTCTCTTCAGAAGCAAAGCACGTGTAAATAAACTTTGCAATAAGCAGCTAGAGGTCAAGTAAATTGGAATGTGGAGTCATGTTTTAACAATACATTTTCACGCATGACTCCATATTTCCCTGATAAAGGAAGTCTGGTTTTGCATTGCCTCACATTTTCAACTAAAACTAAGCATTTTTTTTATTTTACCAGGTAAGGCTGACTTTGCTATATCGCTCTTTTCAGAAGCTACCTGGCCACAAATGACCCATCGGGCTAAATATTCTAAACGCATGTTTTTAAATGTAGAGGGACATTATGGTTTGGCTGAGGCCCTGTTATAAGTGTCAACTTATTAAGCAGTTCTGTCACTGTTTTTGAGATCATTTACGTTTCCAAAGATATGTTCACTCCATTTGAAATCTTGTGTGACCACAGTCATTATAAGTAAATATACATTATCCTGGAATGCAATGATGAAGGCAATTTTTCAATATTGTCAGAGTCAACCTTTACAACTAATATAAAGATATGTTTTTTTCCAGGTCCCAGAAAGTGGGAATGAAATGAGAATGACTTTGAATTTTTTTTAATGATTTACTCATTTGAGGTGTGCAGTTGGGAAATGGGGGGTTATGTGTTGGTAGCAGAGGGTGCAGCAGTACACTCCACTGCTCGTGTACCACAGCTTCTGCAATTGGCAAAGTAGAAATTATAACGGAGTGAAAAGTAATATTTTTGACTTATCATTCCTGTAATTTAATATATATTTAGATATATTGTAATAAATAAAAAGATGCAACGCGATTACCAGGGTGTTGTGGTGGCATCTGTAACTCGTATTCAAGGACATTATTTCAACATTCAGTCAAGGAAGTAGAACATTTTGCCCGATGCCCTCTTTGTCTTCCCAGCAGTGAATTGCATACTTTAATGAAGCGAATGCTTACACTAACGGTCTACATCCTCGCCAGATCTAAATCGAACCAAACATTAAACTAATTTTCAATGGTACAGTATATTTTTCAAGTAGTGGTACCCCAAACTTTCGCAGCTCTTAAAAATTCCCTGTTCACACCATCAATAGGTAAACTCCCCCTCCCCCCTTCGCCAACTGGCATGTTCACCCGCATGTACACCACCTCTACACCGTTCATCATGCTAAGTCGGCCAATCAAATGCGAATTTTTATTCTAATTCCTTTGTCAAGGCACCTTGTTTCCTGGCACACAGCTTAAAGGTAGCGGTCTGAGCGTGGCTGTGTTCACTCCAGCGCTGTCCTCGAGACAGTCTGGTCCCTTCACCTGATGAAGGCCGCTTGTGTTGTGGCCGAAACGTCGTGATTTTTGTTGTTTTATTTTTTACCTACGTGACTTTACCGAATAGAACCAAAGAGTACAGATCCACCTTGCGTGGTCAGAGTGTAAGAGGGAAACCAACGTTTGAACAAAAACGAAGGGATGCGTTTACAAACAGCGATGCAAACACTTTTTTTCAGGAGGGGGTCCTGTTAGGTTTTATGCAACAAGCAGCAAACTTGCCACCACTCGGCCATGTCGCCACTGCCCATGTATGCATGAGCAGATTGTATGTGTACATATCTGTAAAACATACATCACTACTGGACATCTGTGAAAAAGAGCTGCAGAGCTCATCGGACCGCTCCAGCAAAAATGTGTAAAGGACGCGCAGAGTGTGTTCTTTTAGCGGTACGACAAAACCGACTTTAAGAATCAATTGGTGTTTAAAACCGTCGGTGGAATTGCACTGGTCATAGGTTTTTCCGAAATAAGCCACAGCTCCAGTTTGTACAGACGGACTCCCAGCGGAGGAAGATCTGATGTGAAGTTGAAGCAAAGCGTGGCGTGCTTCTTGCAGCAAGTCGTGCGCTTCGCATGGTGTCACTGTTTTTTTTGGCAGGGGCCAGGCGCCTTCACGGTGCTCTGCGCTAAAGTCGGGGAACCGACAAAGTCATTCAAACATCCACGCACCCGGGACCCCTTAGCTCTCTTGCCAGCACGTGTTGGCACCGTTTCCACGCACGCTTGCAGATAATCTGCTGGGATTCCAAATGGCATGGCTTAATTTTGCCCTTCCCCGCTGTAGGAGAGGGCGTTGCTCTGAGTGCGAAATGGGGCCCTATGTGGGCTTGAGTTGCACGTGCGTAAATATACCCGCTGTGGCAACCCTCTCAGCTGTCTTGTCTGTGGCTCCAGTGTTATTTTTGATGCAGCTAGGGATTTAATTGTCTTTAATTTAGTTTGAGAGTGGGGTTTTTTTTTTAAGGCTGTCCATCAACAAGAAAAGAAGGCTCATCTGTTGTGGAAAACCAGCCTATTTTAATACCCATGTTGTTTGTATATACTATTTACGTAAAATGTTTAGTTTTACTCTTTGACTAATACTGCTCAATCTTTCAGCCAAATGCCTCCCGGGAGGGCATTGGGCCACCTTCATCATGGGAGTCCTGTACTTTCACACTAAACAGTGAGCAATGCTTTAATGCAGATTATCTTAAAATCCTCTGGTTGAGGAGATCACAGCTGAAATTTGGGCTCCTCAAAGTAGTATGTTAAGCAACACTTTATCAACAAGGCAGTGCTAGAGCAATGCAGCGTTCCAGCTTATTATCTGCACAATTCTTTTTGCAGATGAGAGTAGTCTCGGCAAATTCATAATTTTATCCACGAGTCTTGGCCCATTTTTCTGGCATTTACTGATGGGAAATACGCCTTTTCTTTTATTAATCCACACGATTTCAATAGGTAAGGGGAGTCTAACAGAAAACGGATCCCGTTTATCAATGTGTATCAGGCTTCTTTCACGTGGATCGGTGGAACAAAGCATCCACTGATAATAGGATCCGACTTGGGCATCTGTGAAATAGAGCTTCATAGCTCATGGGATTCATCCAGTCTAAATAAAGATTATAATTCTGATATTTAGAGGAGTTGTCCTCCAGTTAAGTCGTGCGACTTTGTGCAGCACTTTAACACAGAACATCTCAGAGTCCCGCACATGATTGTCTAGGCAACGTGTTGACTTCAGGGGGAACTCTACTAATCCTAGATCAGAAATGCTGGACTACAGCTCGGGTGCTTCCAGGCCATGTTATCATGCAAATTATACAATGTTCTGTGTACACGATTATTCACAGGCTTCCTCTGCAGTCAACATGCTTTGTTACAGCAATGTGGTACGTGTTCATCTATCTGTGTGCCTCCTTTATAGGATGAAAGTGAATTCCGGGACAAGCTGTCTCCCATCGTGGTGTCTCTGAACTACAGCCTGGATGGAGAGTACAACTCGAATCACAGCACTGTGGTGCCAATTCTTAACCACTACCAGGCAGACCACATCCAGAAGCAGGTACCCCCTAGACAATGCTTACCGGTGTTGTGCAATGACCATTGATACTTCAACACATGAATTGGAACGGATGCACTGTATGCGTTGATTGTTTGGTTCAATGATCGAGTGCATTTCATGTACTCCATCAATAAATAATCATTATTTATTAGGGTTATACAAGGTCTCTGTAATTCCATATCTTGCTCTGGAAACAGGTTATGGATTGCTATTTAAAAAAAAAAACTTTTAAACCGGTTTCTACTTATAAAGCATGACCTTATTTTGTCAAAATTATTTTCCATAACCTCGACCATAAATAGTAAAAACTTCAACACAACATTTGAAAATGACATGCTCCATGTACATTGTTAACTTAATTCACAAGTTTGCCCTGTAATAAAAATACAATAATTCCAACGATTAATAATTATTAATGGTACATTTCTTGTAAAGTTACTGAGGGTTACATTTCAAAATGAATATTCATATCCTTGACTTCTGAAGTACAGTACAACAGTGTTCTGCTGGTGTGTTACATATTTATTGCATTATGGAAGCCGTCCTGTGACCATGAAACAAATTGGCCAACTCAGGCTCGTGAATGTAGACAATGACCATGTGACTTGTGAAGACTTTTCCAATGACATTGATAATCTTCATGCTTTATACTTCATGGATCATGCTTTCCAACAACAAATGCCATGGGACACAATCTCCTTGCATTGCCAGTGACATTCAGAAGCGAACAAAGTCTGCTCTATCAAACTGGATGCAGTTAAATTCCTGACAGCAGAGAAAACTGGTCATGTGGCTTTGTGAAATATTCACTTGCATTGGCAGCCATAAAAACTAAATGAAGCTTTGTTGTGTTGCCCATATCGCTGGCATTTATTTAGTATAACCACCAGCGAGGCTGTGGAGATGCGGATACTCGTAGGTCTGGGGGAATGCACTTGGTAAATAATCAGAGGGTCACGGAGGTGTGGGAAAGCGACTGTAAGTGTAGAGGTGAGGACAGCGGAGGGGGGGGGGAAGGGAAATGGTGGCATGAGGGCTATGCTGCAAGGCAAGACATGGGTGCTGCTGGCAGGGAAGCTCTGGGTCGAATGCCTAAACGTTTGACCCATCTGTGATACCGAGACAGATGGTGTTCTTCACGTCGTCAACGACTACAAAAACAAACGTTTCATTTTACCATTTGGTACTTTTAATGTTATTGTATATGTGTAATACATTGGAGTGTGTAAATTATATCGCGCTCGCAAACAATATACATTTTACAAATTCTAGCATTGTTTTTGTCAGGAAGCTTTTGCATTTCTCTGCAACTTTATAGTCGTGTTAACTCATTATGGTTGCAAACTTGATTACATTTTTAAGGCTATGGAAGTCAACGCTTCCCCCATAGCCAATGCATGCCGGGTTAACAGTTCAGTTTCCACAGCCACTGCTTCTCTTAGGCATTATGAACCAGAAAGCTATTGTGACATTTTGAAGAGTAGGCATATAACATATGCTGAAGTTCCGGCATGACATGCTGAGCACTAATGTCTCGCTTACAAATGATTTGCAGTTTTTTTTTACATTTATTTGTATTATTATTATACACTGTAAACATATAGTGGTGTGCCTGTGTGTACTGCCTTTTACCTGCTTCGGCAAAGAACTAAAAAGTTACATAGAGTTACATGTTATTTCAGCTTTAATGGAGGGCAGTGTTATAGTGAAAATTGCCCTGGGTTTGTGGGGAGGAAAGCAAGATTATATTTCACAGATGCGGATATTCTCGTTAAGTTTCTAAATAATTATTTTACATTTGAACTGTCCCCATTGTACTTGTACAGGCATACATTTTGCTGGACTGTGGAGAGGACAACATCTGCATGCCAGACCTTCAGCTCGCTGGATATCTGTGCGTAACACTCGCGCGGCACAGCGTGCTTGCACAAATAAAGGCACATCACCGTCAGCGGTCGTGCTGGGAAATTCCATCTGGGATATGATCCAAATTCCATGATTGCACCATAGAAGATTTCTGCAGGAATTATGATTCTTCTTTGGGCGATTTCCATGTTTAAATCCATGTAATTAAATGGGATTCTCACAGGAATTCCACATGAGAAATAATCATCCAATATAATTAGACTAATTTTAATGGCGATGCAGGAATCGCCATTTGATATGAGTGCATGTATTTGTAAAAAAATGTTCTATTTGGAGTTTGCTGTACAGTACCATTGAATTAAACTCTGCAATGCTTGGCCTGCAGCTATTGCCCAACATAGATGTTGGTTGATGGGAAAGAATTAACGTAATTCAGTACAACAGCTTCCCTGCTTATCCTGTACATAATGTGGGAGGAGCAGCTGCCTACACTTCCTACTCCTACTCGGTTCTTTCACAGATTCTTTGTTAGCCAGAAACAACATAGGGCCGTGTGTGCACACGTGTGTGTGTGTGTGTTTGCATTAAGACCTACATTTCTGCTTTATTGACCTGGTCAAGGATTATGATACCATCAGTAGGCCTGGGCTCTGGGTTGTTCTTCGTGTTTTCGGAGTCCCTGACTCGCTGCTCACGATCATTAAGGACCTTGATGATGGTGAGCCGGCCCAGGTAAAACTATGTGGCCGGGAATCGGAACCATTCCCTGTTCACTTTGGGGTTCGACAGGGATTTATTCTGGCTCCCACATTATTTAACATTTATTTCGACCACGTAGTTCGTGAAGCATTCAATAGCTGTACCGGAGGAATTTCCGCTGCTGAACCTGGAGCTTGCCACTAAGAGGTGGGGACTTACCATCAGCCCCACCAAAACTAAGCACCTGCCTGGGTATTTTGTACCATCGGACACTCCACCCCCACAACTACCAATTGGTGATAGGGCAGTTGTGGAGAGTTTCCCATACCTGGGCAGTGTGCTCATGACCGGCTCCGGTTTGACAGCAGAGGTCTCGCTCCGAATCAATCGAGCGGCATTATCTTTTCATCGGTTGCGTAACGCAGTGTGAAGCTACCTGGTCTGTCGCTCCGCACGAAGCTTCAGGTCTTCTCGGCCACAGTCATTCCCTGCCTTCTCTACGCTTGACAAATGTGGACCCCCCTAATGGAACATCTTCGCCGGTTAGAAATATTTAGGCTGGCCTGCCTACGATCCATCCTGGGTTTAACCAGGCTGGATTGTGTGAGGAGCTCGCATATCCTTGAAAGATCTGGACAAAGTCCCATCGGTGAGCTCCTCAGGCAGGCAAGGCTGCGTTGGCTGGATCATGTAGCTCGCATGCCCAGCCACCGCATGCCGAAACAGCTTTTGTTCGGCCGGATCGAGGGGGCTAAACGAGCCGCGGCACGGGCTAGAGAAGAGATGGAGTGATGTGGTACAGGAGGACGTGGAGCTGAGTGGACTTGCCGATGACTGGTACCAGTGGTGTCAAAATCGGCCTCTGTGGAGGAGGCTCGTGAAGGATGCTACTGGGCAGTTGGAGGCATTCGCCATCCAACAACAATGGAGGGGGCAGGAGCGACGCTCACAACAACGAGCGAAGCGCTGGGTGGCTAGAGCACAGAAAGTTGGCACAGGGGACACAGGTGGTGCATCAGCCAGTCATCTCAGTCAGTCGACCCATTGCACCTGGGTCTGCCCCTTGATCTCCTGCCAGCGGGCGTTTGACACTTCACGTGGCCTTAACGTGAACATAGCCTGGCACAAGCGTCGTGGTGACGTCATCATCACTTAGTTGCAAATGGCGGTTGTTGATGTTGTTGCATGCACACGGTCCTATGTTTCGGTAGTGTAGCGGTTAGCATACTGCGCTACAAGCCTGGCCGCCCGAGTTCGAATTCCACTTGCGACCAACATTATTTGAACTGGTCCTGGACCCCTCCCCTAGGTCGACTCGGCCTCAAATGAGTACATTGTGTGGAGTGTAAACATCGCCACTCAGGAGACAAAGGCGGCCGGCGTGAAGTTGGCCACCCACTCCCTCGTGTTTCATTTCATTTTTCATTTAATTTAATTGGTATAGCGCTGTGAGCCATTCGGCTCTTATATCGGGTGCAACCGCAACAAACAAAAAAAACAAAAACATGAACAAGAAAACATCTTAAAGTGACTATGTGCATGTGCAAACAGAAAATTTAGGAAAAAACATCAATATATTCCTGAAATAGCACCGTACACCAACGCTGTGTGCAAAAATCCCAGTGGGATGCAAGTCAAACAACAACAACAAGAAAACTTAGATTAAGGCCATCAGTCTAACTCCGTACTACAATAAACAAAAACATGGCCAAACCAAAAAACTTTTAGAAATCACCAAAATAAAGCCATAAATGCAATGTAACAGTGATCATAGGAACTGTGACCGAATTTTTAACAATAAACTACATAAATAACATGTAACACCAAACCCTAGAGCCACAGTGCCGTGCCGTCAGCCTTCATAGGTGCTCAATAGTCTGTTAAAGGCGATACGGGGGGGGGGGGGGATCTTGTCTCTGTTTGCGTATGTGCATTGCACTTGAGTGAAAGCCGTGTAGAAAGTTTGACCGGAAATGAAAAATGTCATATTCTGTAAAATGTAATAATTTTGTTGATGGCAAAACTGTGTGCTTTTTTCAATTATAGAGTATATTTAGTTTTTCATTTATTTTAGACTTGAATGCATTTGTTATTTCGTCATGTGCAATTGAAACTTTGGATTCAAAATTAGAAAATGTATCATATCCTATATGGTATTGCCTTGCCATTTCTAGTGCAGTGGAATGTCTGTCTGAAGTGTATGAATGAGCCACTTAAAGCAAATGCAGATCTATCCTTATACTGTATGCACTCACCCCAGTGGGATCAATGGGTATTGACTGACAAACCTGTTGTGTGCACATCTGTCCCTTGTGTAATTTTAGAATTTTAAATTTGATCAACTGCAAAGTTGGAACACATGATGGGCCCATAAAAGTCTCAGGCACATTATAATAATAATAATGACTCCACTGAAAGCTGAACTATAAATACCAAGAGCCTTTTTTTCTACATGATGCTTTTGTTCATGGTATGACAGTAAATTTCATGTTTTGTCTGTTCAGTCACGTGGTAAATACTGCCGCTTATGAACTTTTGCAAGGAGTTATCACATGGCGAAATATGTTCTAATTTGAATATTGATCACGCTGTGACGTTGTTTACAATTGTAAGCCTCTTTGTAATCAATATAGCTCAAATCCATGTGCATACCAAAACCTAATTTTATATATGAGTAGGCAATTCCTTTGGTCTTCACTTATGGAATCACATTGCTATCTCACCTCCTTATAATAATAATATCAGTAATAATAGAAGCCTCAATCAGTTTTTTTTTGTATTATGCTTATGCTGCTGGGAATGTTCAATCAGTGAATTTTAAGTTGTAGCTTTATGGAAAGAAATTGGGTGCACCCAGAGAACTCTCACTTGCAAAGGTAGAACATTTGATTGCCACATTGAGCAAACCTAATGGAATTGATTTTCGCTGGCTTGCGTAAAAGATCCACCATCCTCGTTTGCAAGTTGCTTGGCTAGCATTGCTGTATGCAACAGTCTAGTGGCGAGATGTCGATTACCCCGTCTGGTATATATTTGGAGTTTGCATGTCTCTCTCCCCACGGTCACGTGGTTTTTTTCTCAGGCTTCTCTGGTTTTTCCCTCCACATTTAGAATCAATGTGCGTCTAGTGTATTTAGTTTTTATACGTTTCCTCGCGATAAGCCACTTCGTTGAGCTACAACCTGTGCCCGCCAGGTCGTTTTTTGAAAAACAGCTCTCTCTCTCTCTCTATCTCGGTGGGCCTTACCTGGTAAGGTAAAACAAAGTAAAAAAAAAAAAAAAATAGTGCGCAGGCGTGCGTCGCCTCGACCGCCTCCCGCCGCCGTTCACCGCCGCGTTCTGGACGACGCGCTCACAGCGCCGGCCTCGGCCTTGTTGTGTCGTCGCAGGGAGCGCACGGAGCTCTTCATGGGTGACACGAGCCCGCTGACGCTCACGCTCAACTGCTCCAACCACGGCGAGGGCGCCTACGAGGCGGAGCTGCAAGTCGCCGTGCCCCCCGAGGGGGACTACATCGGCAGCACGCGCAGCAGCGAGGGGCTGGGAACGAGCGATGGGGTACGTGCTTGGCCGGTGGAGGGGGGGGGGTGATGGGGGAGGCCGTGGTGGTTGTCGTTTGTTCAATACATCACTTGTCGTATTTGTAAGACCGCAAGCACACTAGTCATAAACCCGTGCGGGTCATGGGAAGAAATGACAGTTGCCAAACGATTCTGCGATCTGTAGTATCTCAGGGTTGACGCTGTGCTCCAACGAGAAGAGGAGAGGTGTGTGTCTGTTCGTGGCCCTCAGAATGGTGGACAATTGACATTTACGCTGTAGGGGTCGGTTTATCCATAACGCTATCACTGTTGTATTTCAGTCCTAGACGAAGGATGTACCGCGTCAAACTTGACCATGATTTGAACTTGCAGGTTACAATTACGGGTGGAGTGCTTCAACCACTGCTGCACTACCCAGCTGGAAAATAGTCAAGGGTTATACATTTGTATTTTTACATTTACATCAAACCTATTCCAAATGCCCTCTAAAACAATCTAAGTAGGGTGGATAGAGTTGTAAGAATGTGAAATGGGATATGACATTTAACCTCGTGTGTCACGTGTTGTTGTCCTTTTTGCTCATCGTGTTTTGTCTGCTTTAGAATGTCTTCGCCCCAATCTGCACCCTGAAGGAGGAGAACAACACTAGATTGGTTGTTTGTGACCTGGGGAACCCCATGAAAGCTGGCACGAATGTAAGCAAGGCCGCTATGCATCCACTGGAGTCCATTTCATATTTTTTTCACATCACGTGCTCTCCAAAAACAGCTGACGCAATGGAATGACAAAGTGTAAGCTGGAGTATAGTTTATTTTACATAACGAATGGTGTGTGTGTGTCTGTATGTGGGGTGCACCTTTGTGTGTGTGTGTATGTAGCTTCTGATTGGGCTCCGGTTTGATTTCAAAAACATGGCTTATGACAGCTCATCCATCACCTTCAATGCCAACATGAAAAGGTCTGTACTTGAACATATTTCCAAATAATAAAGTCGATAACCAAAACAATTTTCGTAAAACAGTATAGAACTGAACGTAACATTGGAGATGCATACGTGTTTTGTTCAAAGCTAAAGCTGTGGCTGCTGCTGCTGCTGCTGTTTTGCATTCAGCACCAACAAAGACAACCCGGAGAGCCAGCCCCTCGCTCTGCGCGCCGAGCTGGCTGTTTTGGCGCAGGTTGACATTCGGGGGTGAGTCGACTCCCATGGCAACATCGCAACTATACATGGCTCTGGCCACGCACAGGTGTCTCATCCTCACTCACTCGATGTTTCTTCAAGGACCCCCCCCCCCCCTCCCCAAGCAAATATGTGCTGGGCTCCTGCCACATTGTGACTTGAGTGGTGGATTTTTTTTCCCCCCCATAATAGAGTTTTTTGGGTTAGATCTCGTCAATATAAATGTTGTTAAGCCCGCTAACCACCCGACACAGACAATTAGAAAGGTTTGTCGTATAAACAAAACATGCCAATTCGTTACGAGTACAGCACACTGGTGTGGTGGAGAGTTTGTGAGCTTACTCTTTTGGAAGAATAATTAGCTTTTGTCCCTAGGTTTATTGCAAACATTTTGTACACTGAAAACTACGAAACTGAAATATTGACGCTTTTGCCTGGGAAAGATTTGGAGGATTTAATTTTAGAAAGTCCCTCTTTGGGGTGATTCGCTGGTGAATTTAGTTTTTATTAGAAATTAACTTCATAAAATTTATGCATTAAAAATGCAATAATGTATTTGCACCCGCACCTTCGATACGCACGGTTGGCTATGTGCGGTGCAACAGAAGTTCAACATACATGTAAATTTGAAACAGCTGTCATAAGTCCGCACTTGCAGAAACTTCAGCAACTGAGGGGGAAAGGCACAGGGGAGTGCACATTGCACAACCACAAAAATGTCAACAAATGAGCACCTTCAAACTCTCAGCTGTTAAAACAAAGCGCGTGCTCTCGTGAGCGGGTGTTTGTGCATAAAATCCCGAGCTGTTAAGCTGCCCCTGTGTTTTTGTGAGTTAAGAGGAAAAAAAAAAACTATTACGCGCAGTTATGCTATTTGTGGTGACCTAACCATAAACAAGTGTCCAACTAAAATACATCTTTTGAAACGTTGGGTGACAAAGGCAGCTGACTTCGGAAGACTGACACTGGATGTCAGGCACTTTCCGTTCGGCGTCAATCAGTGGAACTATGAAATGGTGTGGAAATTTCTGGTTATTCCAGAAATTTAAAACGAATACTCCTTTTCCGAAAAGTGCGTACGGAAAAGTGCATTTTTGTTTATTACAGCAAAAACTTGCATAGATTTTCATCTAACTATTTACAGGTTTCAATCCACGTTGTAGTATAGTTAGCAGCCTTGAGCAACCTTGAATAAATTACCCCTTTACATTCACGAAAAATATATATCTATGGGGAAAAAATTGCTTGTTTTATGAGTGAAATTGGTGGCTTAATATAGGGCACTATATCTTATTGTTCGGCTCACTCATTGTTTTTCCAGGCTTTTTGAGGGCATTGGGCAGTAGGATTGCTGTATGCTTGGTTGAGATATTAAACTGAGAAACAGCAAGTCTGAGATAGTGAAGTTACCATGATTTCTCAATCCTAGTCCAACTCAACTATTTCACTGCATTTGCTCTCAAATAATCGATCCAGCAAAATTTAACATGCCTGTTAAGTCTCTTAGTTGATTTAATTTCGATAGATTTTTTTGGATTAATTTTTTTAATATATTGCACTTCTAATCAAACACATCCCCATGAATAGCAGCGTAAAAAGGACTTCATCCAGAAGCAGGATGACAATGGGGTGAAAACTATCCCCGATTATATTTTAACACTTACAGATGTATTTCCTCGTGGCTTACACTTTATGAAATGACAAATATAATCTGAAGTCTTTTTTTATTGAATTGGCAAACAAAATACAGTAATGATTTGCGCCTTTTATGCATAATGTGTTCATACTTTGGGGGGATTTCTTGCACCGAGTCAGCTCCGGATTGGAATTTAAACTCTCAGCCATCCAATTATGCCATGAGGCCAGATATTTGTATGCATTGCATACATCAACTTCAAAAGGATTTCACTTCAGACTTTGCTTTGTCGGGCGAGTTTATTTAGTAAAACAATACAGTAATTGTTTGTATTATTTGATTGTGAATAATGTTTAGAGTTCACAATCAGTTGCATCTCTCCCACCGAGGTAAAAGGATGTTCTTGTGTTTTGTGCAGTGTGTCCATACCAGATGCAACAGCCATCTATGCTGCTGAGTGGAAATTGGCCGCACCCATGTCTTATCAGGAGGAGATCGGACCTTCACTCCAGCAAGTATTTGAGGTATTTATGATGTTCTGAATTCTCACGACTTTTCGGCCACAACACAAGCAGCCGTCCTCAGGTGAAGAAACAGCGCTGTCGGAAAGACAGCGCTCCAATGAACACCGCTAAGCTTGGCAGCGTATTTTAAGCTGGGTGGGAGGAGCAGAGCACCTTGACAAAGGAGTTTACATATCAACAGAAGAATTTAGCATTGAAGTAGCTGTGTTAATGTGAGAGATAAGCAGGATGTTAAAGTCAGAAATTAGCATGTAACTGGGAGATTAGCATGATGTTAACGTGAGGAATTAGCATGTAACTGGTCACGGAAGTGGCTATTCACGTCGTTTATCCAAGTTGCACGATGCAGTGGCAAGGTTCCGGACTTAGCAATTGAGACTTTTTTTTTCCTCATATAAGCTTTTCAACCTGCTTTTTAAATGAAGGTCAAATGATTGAACGTGTTTTAAACAGACTTAACATGGTTTTACATTTGTGCACCCACCTCCCTCCTCCTGCGCATGCCAAGGTCCACAACAATGGGCCGAGCTGGGTGAAGGCAGGCTGGTTGGACGTGAAGGTGCCCCACCAGCATGATGACGACTTCCTACTCTACCCGCTGCAGGTCACCACCGAAGGGCCCCTCAACTGCACGTTCAGTATGCCCTTGAACCCGTTGAATCTACAGGTATGGACCTCTTCGATGGACTTGCAGTATCCCTGCACTGCTGAACATCGCTTGATGATTTCAAGCCAAAAGTAATTTATTTAGGCTTTGTATTCATTCTCTGGTGTTTGATCTGCACCAGCGGTGTAAATTCTCTATTATCATATTTTCCCATAGAATCGCTACTATTGCGTTCTGACAAAGTTGAGGAGTTTTTGTTTGACGCTGGAAATATGATGAGCCGAGTTGACCCACAACCTGGATTTGAGCTTGCAACTCTCCGACTGTCAAGCGCTGTCACTAATCGCAGGACCACCTGGACAGATCTGTTAAAATAAACCCAATGAGAATGATATTTTGCATGGTATTATAACAGTATTGTCACGTCCCAATAAACTTTTAAAGTTTAGATGTGCTCATTTCAAAATAATCAGACCAATCATCTCAAAAGGATCGCTCCAAATAGCTACATTTACCGCTGAGACACCACGTCATTCCTAGACCACAAACCATTTTGCCTAAAGTTATTTAAGTGCCTGCAAGTGAGAGTGATCTATGTCCTTACGGAATCCAGTGTAAAGTGAGGGACGGGCGCTGTATAGGGAAGTGCCCTCCGAGAATGTGCAGGGAGTGTTGAAGGGCTCCAGTTATAAACTAATGCAATTGGTTATGAATAGAGGTTATATGCAAGCATAGTAATTTATACTTCCCCGATGTAAACACATCTGCATTTGGCATACTAACTCTTGCGAGTATAGCATAATGAAGAATGCGGCATGTTTATAATTGAAAAAATGCTCGTAATAAAATTTTCAGTGGGGGGTTTAAGGTATTTTTTTAAATTGAATCACTTGTTAAAGATATATTTAACAGTGCGACTACTCTGGTTTGTTTATGATGGTGCTATATAGCTCTCCGATGTGTTTTTTATTGTTCTGCGCGTTGCTTGGTAAGATCTCCGATGTTTTAATCCACATTTTTGGAGCTTCTAAAGGAAATACAAACTTCAGACATGCCGAACAACATGGGGTATGATGTGAAAACACACAGGAGATCTATTGAACAATGACATTTAAAAACTGAAGCCATCATGCTGAGACCTTGAATCTGTGTGGAATAGACAAGTGGTACATCCAGATAATGTTTTTTGCTGAGTATTACATGGCACAATTGATAAAAAAAACTTCACATTATGTCTGCATGTGTGAGAGCTTCCAGAGTTATTCTTTGGTTCTTTCGGTAAAGTCACGTAGAAATAGAAATAATAAATTAGCTTCCAGAGTATCTTGGTCTATAGTAACACCTGTTCACTTTCAATTAGAAAATCCACAGCTGGTAATAATTGCTAATTCAAATTGAGCTTGCACTTTTTTTTAGTGTGCTTTTTATAACTATTGCAAACCAAGTGGCTTCAAAGTTAAAATAATTTCTGTTATCCATCGTGCATCTGTTCAAAGTGATCTGTAAAGAGATGAAAATCCACACTTTTCCCTTGTACTGTGTGTGCTTAAGTTATCTAAATGGGTAGCACATTATTTAAAGGCACTCCCTTGTGCTTTGTGACACTATCAGGGTAGCTCAGTTGATAGAACTGTGGTCTCAAGAGTGCAGGATTTAGATTTAATATACTGGTCTCTGGGTCAAGCAAGTCTTTGATCCCTTTGGGGTCTGTAAAGTGGTATCATTTTGTGCAAAATCTACAATTTGTTTAATTGGCACAGCTCCACCAATGCAGATGAGTACCACCCAATTATTGTTTTAAGTGTTACAATATTATTATTATTGTGTTATTTTATTTTATCAATTTATTATTTTATTCTCATTCTACGTGACTTTACCGAAAGAACCAAAGAAAATAAAATCCACCTTGACCGGTACCAAATTGGCTCAAATTGGCCAACACTCAAATTACAGTATTAGGGCAGCTATACTCCATGTGCAGTGCAATATAGCACTTCAATTCATAAGTCTATGCATCGTAATTCTTCACTTGATGCAGTTTTTTATGGAACGACAATGCTACTGCTTTAACGCTAATTATATAACAAGTCACTTTTAACTGTCCGAACTTAAATAATTTTCATACCGGATTTTGCAGTTTACCTTTTAAGTGCCAAACTATGTTACCATAATGTGCTCTGCAACTTCACTCCACCCAGGTCAAATGCCAGAGTGAACAGAGTTGATAGGCAGGTGGTCACGTGTGGTAGGGCAAATTGTGGGTATTCCCACCTCTTCCAAGATGTCTGGCCAAAGTGTAAGAGTAGGCCAAATTACCCTCGTGAGGGTTTTTTTTTTCTGGAGCTCCCTCTAGTGCAGTCCTAACCCACCGGCAGTGCCTTAAGGAAACAATTGTATGGATGAACCTTTCACCCTCAAATAAACTGTCTACATTTCGGCAACAACAAAAAGCACATTGAAAACTAATAACTGTTTCCCACAGAACTCCCTCTCCAAATAGTTTATTTTTCCAAAGGAAACGTTGCAACAAAACCTGCCTTAGTAGCATAACAATGTATAGAATTTAACGGCCACATTGCTCAAACCCACCACTGCATTTTCCCCTGCGGCAGCCAGCCCAGGAAAAAAATTCCCAAGCTTGGCGCCACCGGAACTGTATAAGTAAAGCTCTAATGTAATGATGCTGATAAACATCTTAATGAGTGGATTCTGTAGAAAGTGGAATGTATAGAGCATGAAGGTGGAGTGTCTCTTCTGCAGCCATTGTAGTTGATCTGGACGGAGCTCTTGGCATGTGGTAGATCAGAAGAGGCAGATTGCCATGTGCAGGGACATGTAGCCATTGTCAGGGGATGACACTAATTCAGGTGTCTGGGCCAATCTGAATGCAGTGCAACTTAGTGCACTGGGGGAGATAAGGGAGACTCCAGCAGGCTTGCCCAGCCTTTTCCCTAAGTGAATTTTGGCTAAAAAGTAGGCCCAGGGTGTAGATTGGAAGATAAATATAATAGTGGTGATGGTCTCTTCTGGCTCTAAAATATATATCATGCATGAAATGAGTAGTAGAATTGTACTGTTTGGCAAAGTGTGTGGCTGTATGGATTCCATAAGTGGTGCATATGGATGTATTAACTACAGCAATAAGACATCATGAGGCCTCCTTTGCCAGTACTAAAATATAATAGGGTTTTTCCACTTTTTTTCTGGCGACAAAACTGACACCTTTTGCAAGGAATCATGTTTACATTAACCACAATACTTGCAGTCAGAATGCAAACAAAAAACAACACTGATCATTTATGCATTGTCCTTGGAACTGATTGGTCCACACCAGAAACAGCTGGTGTGGACCAATCAGTTTCAGTATTGTGGTTAATGTAAACATGATTACTTGCAAAAGGTTTCAGTTTTGCCGCCAGAAAAAAGGGGAAAACCCCTATTACAGCAGTAAGATTATTGCTTTCACATATGTATGCTGAAACTGATTGTGTATGAAATTACGCTATATAATGCCTCATGGCCATTTAGCATGGTCAGCTGAAAGGTGCCAAGAGTGGTTCCTTCTATAGGCTTGCGGTAAAATACCACACAATAACTGGCAAACGCCACAGCTGAATGGGCTGTGTAGAAAATTGCTCATTCCATAATAATAATAAAAAAAACTTGGCTTATGGCATACCAAACTTCATTGTCATATCTAGATACTGGAAACAGAATAACATGTGGTGATATAAAATTAGGAAGGAAGCAAATGTGAGCATAGTACTTGTATGCAGAATTGTGAAAATCGTGAAATAATTATACATTTCTTCAACACTCGTGGCCATTGAGTCTTTATAAAAATCAATTTAATGCAACAGAAAATACCTTTTTAGTTTTTTCTTGTGAATGTTAAATGCAGGGAACCTGTTAAAAGGTGCGATACTTGGTGAACCTTTCTTATACAAATAAATTACATAATTATTTGAACGTGTCAATCTAAAGAATGTAAGAAACATACTTGCCAGTAAAATGGCATGCAGATACTGACTGAGCGATGAGAGTATAGGCAGTATTTAGCTCCAGAATCAGCCAGAGGGAAGTAAATCAGAGGTGAGCAGGAACAAAGTCTTGATGGATTTCTTCAGCAGATACGATGGTGTCTGTATAAGGGGTCCGTACGTGAATGGCATTGCGGTTGAGAAACCAAGATCAAATATGAATCAAATAGTTTAAACGAATGTAAATGTATAAATAATTTGACCAAATCACCAAGAACGTGCCTCTGATCTAGTCAGAAGTCACACAAGGTAAGTTGGGGTTGAGCCTGGAGCCATGCTTGGATGGTTGACCACTATGCAGAACAGATGTTGAAGGCCTTTGGGGCTACGTTATGGGCAGCAGAGGGAAGTGAAAAATGTATTTCTGTACAATAAATCCATGCTCCCTGCCTTAATGGACCCACATTGACCAGTCCGATGAAGTATAGTCAAATGAACCCCCACGACCCACATTACATTGAGAGGCCCTCGGCCAGCAGTCGATTGACGAAAGGGGTGTAAATGTACACATTGTAAACTACTCGATATACAAAACTAGCCCATGAACAGTAATGAATTCCAGTTAAGTTGCACAGGTGGAATTTTAGTCTTCCCTTGCTGAAAACAAAATTTGAGTGAACGTTTTGTACATTTAATGTCTTATATGGGGAATTGTTAATATTAACGAGCACAATAAAACGTGCTGTCAAACCATACATTGCTGATGTTAAATTGTAATGTTCCATAATTAATTATGTAGAGGGCTAAAAATAACACTTGAAAATGGTCAGTGCAATTGCTCAAATCACATTGCAAGTTAAGAATTTATCTCTAAAATAAATCTAATTTGGATTAAATGGTGTATGTCTGAAGCATAATTTATATCGTCCACCTACTCTACATGAACCTTATATATTTTCTATTGCATATATCTGCACAGAAAAATGTTTACTTGCAACTTTCGTCAATGCAGGAATTCATATTCTTTGGTTCTTTCGGTAAAGTCACGTAGATATAAAAATAATAATAAAGTTAATAAAAATAAAAACCAGGACGTTTCGATTTAACACAAGCGGGGCAGCTAATGTTAATGTGAGTGATGCCCATCATTAATGTAAGTGATGGGCATCACTTACATTAGCATTAGCTGCCCTGCCCATACTGCCGACACTTGGGCTACGCCCATTTTAAACCTTTATAAACAGTTTGCCTTAGAGGCTATAATCCCCTTTTCCTGATGACGACCGCTTGTGTTGTGATCAAAACGTTGTGGTTTTTTAATTTTATTATTTTTATTCACTTTATTCTAATCTTCTATCTACGTGACTTTACCGAAAGAACCAAAGAATATCTGCTCGGATGCTTCATTTTATGTCGTCCGTATCATTGGAGGGCAAAACTCTAGACCAAAATCCATACCGCACAGATGTTGTGTTTATGTATGATTGAACCGGTGTAATATCGTGGATATATTCTAATGCATAGCAATAGATGATAACACTAATTTATTGTTATTGGAAGAGTTCATAGACAATAATGTTTCCATTGTCATTTCAGCATTGACTAGCTCCACTGGTAGTATTTTACTATTGGATGTAAATTCCACATTTCTATGCTCGGAATCATTTTTTCCAATGGACAACCACTTTTGTTCATTGTATCGCCACTATTGTACTTTTTTTTATTGACACTGAAGAGAAGATGGACTGAATAGACTTGCAGGGTTGAGCTGCCTGTTACAAGCCTACTCATAGAAATGCAATAATTATAAAATTCAACTTGGTTATTTGCATTTTAATGCTTAGGTTAAAGTTCAGTCGTCTAAGTAATTAAGGAAAAGCTTCAGTTGAGGGAGCTTTTCGGCTACAAATCTCTCTTAACGGTCCTTGAAGTTCAGCTGTGCTCCCAGTGCGATGGCAAGGGCTGACATTTCCTGCCACAGGGAAACTGCAGCTTCCTGTTTACCGTTATGGGCTGATGGAATGAGGCAGTTTAGAGAGATTTCCCAAGATTGGCTTTTTAACCCTAACCACGATGATAACTCGCTTCCCTATACACACCAAAAAAGGACAAAAGCAAATCGGCAAAAACATGTCACTGTTTTTACTTGGTCGCACTCTCATAATAACTGTTGAATTTTTTGTTTACTTTCACAATTTGGATTGAGTTGGGACAACAATGCCCTTTTGTATTCTTGTTCTGTCCATCCTGAATGCATTTTTGGTATCATCTGTCTATATTAGGGAGAGATTTCCATGTGTTTTTTAGAATCCTATTTGGATGTGGTTCTTAAAATAAATTAGATGGCCGTGTACATTTTCAACCTTTTACTGTCAAATGTGTAACACAGCATAACGTTACTGTGAATGTTAAACCCGTATGCAAACACATTGGTCGAAATTATTGTTTACATGTTTGCGTGTGTTTCGATGCATAATTATTGTATTATGTAAATGAGAGAATTGGCATGTTCTGTCAATAGCAAATTACATTCGGGGGTTCTGCCGCTGCTGCAACTACTCAGTCAGCAGATCTTTGTTTTCCAGATGAGCTGTATTGTCTTCTGAGCACAGGAGGTAATATGAAAGGAATGCGTAAAAAAATATATAGCGGATCAGGATGCAAACATGTTTTCCTCCTGTTGTATTGTCACCTGTTGGATTTCCGTGACGCAGCCACGTTTGACTTCAATGGAGCCGACCGACAATTCCAGCGCAGTGGCACCATCGCCAAACCCTCGCCACCTCATCGTGCGCAGGGAGGCCGGGGAGCGCCCACCTTCGCCACGCGTGCTGGTACGAGCAACTTGCGCCCGCGCTCGCTCACTCGCTCACTCGCTCACTCGCTCGCGCTCTCGTTCATTCATCCACTCACTCGTTGGCAGCACATTGGGGAGATGCTACATGTGCGCCACATGGTGTTGGGGAGGATTGCACTCTCCAACACACGGGTTTGCTGAAGTAAGGTTTGTCATGTTTGTGACAAAATTTTACTCATTGGCTCTGTTGGGTGTTGGCGGGTTAGCGAGACATTTATATTTCTACGATCTAACCCCAAAAAATGTGTTTTATCATGGATATTGGTCACGAAAGGCCTGCATGTTAAACTGATTACTCGGCGTTTGAGGCTTTACAACGAGTCGCATGCCGTCATGAGTGTCAGGTCACTTTGGAAAGTTTTTTTTAAAACTATTTTTGCATTTTTCATCAGCATCGTTTGATAAAGTAGCTTTTATTGCACAGTGTATAGAGATGCGTATAATGTTATGATGCAAATACATCAAAATTATTATTGTTATACCACAAAATACAGGTCGACAACGTTAAAGTGTAAAAAAAAAATGTAACAATAAAAAGTACGGTAAGTAATGATCTCGTTACAAATTGCTAATTGAGTAAATACACCATTACCAGCACCCCCACCTACCTTTTGGCTGATGTTATTGATGCAGTAATGCATCACTCTCCAGCACTACACACACACACATTGTGGATGAGCAATGCGTGGTTGGTGCTCTCCGTTAAAATATCCCTGTTCAATTTCAGATCATGTTCAACAGCACTGGTAATTGTAATCCGAGCCTATGCTGGGCCTCCTCGTCAACTTGACCATAACTAAAAGTACAGGTTTCCCTCGCTCTATGCGATGAAATAAATTTCAAGAAAAGAGGCTCTCAAAGTGAGACCACGCAAGACAGATACCTGCCGAATAGTGCGCACGGTACACATACAATGTTGCCCTACGTCTGAATGTAGAGTGAATTCAAACCGCATATAGCTAATTTTGAGCAGAAATGGGTTCGCCGCATTTATGCTAAATCGCACAAACTGAACCCGCATATAAAGCAAAGGAAACCCATACATTTTTTCTGGAATTGCAAACATCATTGCCGTGGAAACAAAGGTTGACGAACAAAGATCCCCCGTATAGTGTTCAGACTGTTGGGGCAAGTGCTGTTAGCAAGCACCTTTTAAAGGCCAGCATTGCACATGAAGGGTGTGGGTGGCCAACGCCACGTCCGGCCGCCTTTGTCTCCCCATTGGCAATCTTTACACCACCGCACCAGATACTCCTTTGAGGCCGAGTAGACCTAGGGGAGGCCCAGGAAAGGCTCGGACAATCGCCGCTGATGTTGGCGGGACTAAAGCTCGGGGCGCCAGGTTCGTAGTGCGACACACTCATCACGACGCTATCGCTGTCCTGTGCATCTCACGCACACACACAGGGTTGCAGCAGCAGCAGCAGCAGCAGCCAGTGCCTGCATGTCACCTGCCAGCTGGGTATGCTGCCGCGACGTACGAGCGCGGTGCTTATTCTTCGCTCCCGGCTCTGGGCCCCCAGCTTCCTTAAGGTCCAGCGCAGCTGCTCGTGTCACCGTGCAAAGTCCACTCCCATGTGCAATACAATGACACCTTGAGAGAGAGAGAGAGAGAACTTGACAACGTGACACCGAATACTTTCCCGGTGGATGTATGTATGTTGAACTTCGTTCACACCGTACGTAGCCAACTGTGCTATTCGGGGGTGTGTTGTGGGGGGGGCGGGGGAGACAACAAACTAAACACACAAACAAGTGCTTTATTTATGGCATTTTCCCGCCTCCTCTAAAAGTAAACAAAACAAATTGGCATCGTCTGGCATTGTTTTACTGCATGTGACATTTCATCATTTTTCATGAGTGACTTTACATTTTCTGCAGAGATGCATAATTTGCACTTCATGATGCAGCTTTGCATGTTGCTTAGTCCGCAGTCATAATGATCATGTGCCACAAGAACCGGTTACCACAGACAACATTGTATTGACAAATAACATTGTCATTGATTAGAAAAAGTATTTACCGTATGACATTCACATCCTCATATATTATTTTGTCATTTTACACAATAGGGTGCATGGTCATTGTACAAGTCTAATATATATGCTTGAGTTATATTTGTGTATAACTTTCTATATTCCCTGTATCAACACCAGCAAATCATATGCAGGAGTAGACAATATATGGGACACAAAGTCTTTATTTTGGTCAACATGCCCTGTACTTATATATAAAATCACTGAGTTTGTGAACCCTACTCTTTCAACGAAGGGAAACTTTGACCTCTTTGTTTTACTAATGCGGCAAATATCAGCTCCTAAATAAAACTCGGTACATCCCCAACAGACATGCCACTTTGGCTGTCAGTGTGTGTGTTAATTGCATTTGTAGCGCACAGCTGTTATGTGTAAATGGCCTTGGGGAACGAGATGACCGGGCTGCTAGGAGGACAAATGGTGACCTAATTGTATTACCCTGTTTGAAACATTGCTCAATGCCTGTGCTCAGCTCGGCTACAATTCGTATTTAATTCATTACAATAATGTTATCCACTAAATTGCATTTTCATGTTTGAGTTAAGCTTCCCGTTTGACTTTTGTTATTGCACATTTTTAAGTGTGCCTTCATAAGCATAAACAGTTACAAGCAGAAGCACAAACTATTTTCTGTAGAGATGGAATGTGTAAGAAAATTTACAAACTCGCAACAAATATATTTGACACTTCCCCATGTAGCAAACCCTCATTGCAATTGCTTCATCTTGACAATCATTTATTGCAACATGGCTATGTTGCATGTACCACACAGAAGGGTCAGATACAGGACCACAAAAGGTTGACAGGTGGCTCTGGGAGCAATTGGCTATCTTAAATCCATACTCAATGTAATGGTCTCAACTCAATATCTGGCAACTATTGCATAAAAAAAAATCTGTCGTTAATTGTTTTTCAGATGAGCTGCTTTGCAATTTTATCACAAGGCAGGCAGATTAAATTCGGGTTGTAAATAACGATGCTATCCTGAGGCTTTCCAGAATGTGTTAAAGAATATAAACAAGTGGGGAAATACTAAGAATATCTTCATCTTTCTGTGTTAGTGTTTTGACAAACTCACTAAGGATATCACCTGTACTCTCTGGTTCTTTCGGTAAAGTGGCGTAGATCGAAAAAATAATAAAATAAAACACGACGTTTCGGTCTCAACACAAGCGTCCGTCTTCAGGTGAGAAAAAATGTATCTTCTGTTGTGGCTTTATATAGGCATGGGAGGGGAAAGGGAAGGGGGGGGGGGAGGAGTTTGACTGTAAGAGTTCACAGGGGAGAGGGGGGAGAGTTTGTGGCGTGCAGGGACGGGTGGGGCTAGATAAATTAGCAAGTAAAGGGACTTGTAGTACAAGTAGTAATCGGACGACGACAACCGGGTGGGTGAGTGAGGACGACGATAACCGGTTACTATTGCAATCATTGAAGACCTAGCCCAACAGGGATTGGATCCTGATGTACCTTCGTTGGTAAGGCACTGCCTTACTGCCTTACTGCCTTACCAACACTTACTTCACCTGGAATGGTACTTTCTACAAACAGAATGAAGGTACCCCAATGGGCTCTCCCCTATCACAAGTGGTAGCGAACATTTTTACAGAGAAATTTGAGACAGATGCCATCCAGGCATCCACCCGACATCCTTCCTTTTGGAAGAGATGCGTAGATGACACGTTCGTCATTTGGCCACATGGCCAGATGGCACTACACCAATTTCTCAACCACATCAATTCCATACACCCATCTATCAAATTCACCATGGAAGTGGAAAATTATGGCAAGCTACCATTCCTGGATGTTTTGATCGAGAAGAGACTTGATGGCTCATTGGGACAGTCTATAGGAAAGCCACCCACACGGATGCCTATCTAAAGCCTGACTCCCACCACCATCCAGCCCAGAAGAATTCCCTCATAAAAACACTACAGCATAGTTGCATCTCCGACCATCACCACCTAGCCAGTGAGCTTGAACACGTATGCAAGGCTCTCAGGAGGAATGGATATTCTGACCACACAATCTGCAAAGCTGCATCCCCAACCATAGGTAGAGAACCATCTGAGGACCCAATAAAAACCATCACCTTACCATACATAGCAGGGGTTACCAAAAGGATTGCCAAAATCTTAAACAAACTCAATATCCAAATTCGGTTCAATACAGTACACAAAATCCATTATTTGATCCCATCGGTGAAGGATGCGATTCCGAACCTGCAATGGTCCTGGTGTCTATAAGCTGAGTTGTCTGCGGCAGCAGTTACATTGGTGAAACGAAGTGACGTGTCTCAGACCGGGTTCATGAACACAAAGCGGATTTGAAACACGGCAGAACCAACTCCTCGGCGGTGGCGGATCATTGTTTCAACGCTGTGGGCACACCTGACTTTGTTTTCTCCGAGACCAAGGTGCTTTGCAAACCCTCGGGCCACCTTGAGAGATTTGTTCATGAAGCCATCCAGATATACAAACACAGACAAAAGTTGAATCTAGAAGATGGATTCAGATTGAGTAATAATTGGAAGGATGTGATCAACCATGTCAAGTTTTAACTGCTATGATTTTGACTCACCCACCCGGTTGTCGTCGTCCGATTACGACTTGTACTACAAGTCCATTTACTTGCTAATTTCTCTAGCCCCACCCGTCCATGTACGCCACAAACCCCCCCCCCTGTCCCCCCCTGTCCCCCCGGTGCTTGCCCCCTCCCGTCCCTACACGCCACAAACCCTCCTTCCTCTCCCCCCTGAACTCCCACAGCCAAACTCCTCCCCCCCCCTTCCCTCTCCCCTCCCGTGCCTATTTAAAGCCACAACAGCAGATAATTTTTTCTCACCTGAAAACGGACGCTTGTGTTGCGACCGAAACGTCGTGTTTTATTTGATTTGATTATTTTTTTCTATCTACGTGACTTTAACAAAAGAACCAGAGCGTATGGATTCATGCAGTCACTAAAGCTTCAAATCAAGATTGATATCACCTGTGTTTTCCAGTATGACCAAGGCATGGAATTTAAATGCATCATAAATTGAAGGTCTCCAATCTTTAATTGGGTGGCAGGGTGGAGAAGTGGTTACACTTGTGCTCATAGCAATTCCCAACTCTCGTTCATTTCTACGTGGAACGCTCTTTTGATTTTAGGAAGCTACTGGAGCTATGCTCTTTTAAATCTAAAACTCATTTCTTTAGAAATGCCTTTTTGTGTTTGGTTTATTGTCTTTTCCCCACACCTCCGATGAGCACAGTTGGCTTCGTATGGTGCGAAATAACTTCTAAATAGATCCGTCAAATTAGTATGTTCTTACACTGTTCTGCATGGACTTTTCTCCGGGTTCTCTGTATTTTCCCAATAGCAACAAAAACATCCGGTGTAACTGGCATTGGCCAAACATCTCAATGCTGAAAAATGAATGTACCCAATTGAGATTACATACAGCAATATTGCCCCCTACAGCACCAATTTGGCAGGACCCTCCTGAAAAAGTCTTATGACTCGGCAAAGGTTTCCTGGTTAAACAAGCATAATAATAATCGGATGCACTGGGCACACAAATCAGTCATATAAGGATAATACTATTGTAGTGGGTACAAATGGGAGGAGGTTTCTTTAGAGGCAACACGTTTATTACTCAATAACAATACAGCTTAACGCAGCCTAACGTAAAGGGGTTACGGCCCCTTCCACCCGATACCCTAAAGAGGTATGTCCTCCAACTAGCATGCCCTATACACTGGGAGAGCTGTCCGCTAAGGGTCCTCCGGCTAGCGGGACCTAGGCAGGCTAACCTGACCCGACCGAGCCAAGGTCCTCGGGTCTGGCCCCCGGCTCCAGGTCTTCCAGGTGGCTTCTTGAGTCTTCGAGTGGCCGACAACTGCCGGGCTCGTTTAGGGACCCGGCTTTTATACACAGTCCCAGCTCACTCCGCCCCTAGCCACACCTTCCTTCTGGAATCTTCCCGAGGGACCTGGAGTGTGACGTCATCCCCCCCAGCCCCCTTCCTGGGGGCTGGGGTCCGCACCCCTGGTCACAATGCTCCCCAGGGATTACCTTGGGTTAATGGCCCGACCCATTTACCGAGCCGGCTCGGCCTCCCTTCTGCTCTCTGTTGACACGGGGCCGGTACTGCCAGCTACGAGCAGTGGCGATCACGTCCAACAATGCCACTACAATCTTGATTTGAAGCTTTCGTGACTGCAGAAATCCATACTCTTTGGTTCTTTCGGTAAAGTCACGTGGACTAAACTCCACTAAATGATCTAGGACAGCTTTCAAATCATTTAAGTATATTACGTGTATGAACGAGAATCAGGAATAGAACTATACAGAAGTCCATTGCATTCTTTGCAGACACTGTCTGGTATAATTGGCACTGCATCACCCAAACATCCAGATGCGTGCCAATGGATGGATGCATTCACTGACTATAGCCGACAGACAAGGCCTGTTGTCTCGACACACTAAACCCCGGAAAGAGTAAGGCAATAACATATA